ACTGTGGTTCACGTCCCGGACCCGGTGGCTTAAAACTCACACCAGGCGCATGTGCGTGAGTGCCCAAGATCCTGATAGGACAATGGAGGAGAAGGGTTTGCGGCATGGCCATCCCCCCTGGGGGGTGATTTCTCGCTTTCTATCTCTCTGTCTCTCTCTGTCTGTCTGGCGAGCGCATGCGCCCTATAGCAAAAACCCCTCCAGAAAAAAAAAAAAAAGAATCAGAAGCAGGATTGAAAATGAAGTTTCTCAACCTTCTACTTCACTTATCAGCAAGTTAAGTATTTTGTCTCTGCTACTCGGGCTGGGATATGGGTGAGAGATTGAATGGGTTAAGGGAGAAGTGTCAGTACGTGACGTGCTCCTCCCTAGCTAAATCAGCATTACTCTTTTTTTTTTTTTTTGAGAGATTTTTGCTATAGGGCACGTGTGCTCGCCAGACAGAGACAGAGAGATAGAAAGCGAGAAATCACCCCCCAGGGGGGATGGCCACGCCACAATCCCTTCTCCTCCATTCTCCTCTTGGGATATTGGGCACGCACGCACATGCACCCGGCATGAGTTTAAGCCTCTGGGTCCGGGACTCGAACCGCGGTCGACAACGTGGGAGTCCAGCGACAAAGCCGTTACGCTAACTGCTGGTCCCAGCATTACCCTCATTTTAGTCAGAGAACCCATAGCCTGAATTTCTCTGCTTATCTTCTAAGGCAGGCATGTGGGTAAGAAAGCTGCTGGGTAGCTAAACACCAGGAGAGACTGACTCTGTTACAGAGAGTCAGGAGGGAGGCAGAAGATTGAACATGTCATTGTATTATTGTCTCCATCTTCATGGGTAGAGAATGAATGGAAATTTATGTATAGGCTCACCCCGAGAGGTTGAGAGAGATAAGAGGATAGACTGGGGCACTTTTAGTCTAGATACATGTTGAACGAATGTAATTATCTTGTGGCATACCGTTGGGTCTTAAGAGATAGGGAATCAAGGACGAGGAAAAAAAAGCAAAACCTGTAGAAAACAAGAAATGGAAAATTATTTGTTGACGATAACATGTATGCTGATGTGCTTGATTGAGCCAACATACAGTGTACTCTGGGTGGAAAAAAAAGAAAAAGAAAAGTCATGATACATTTTTGCACAGAAAAACATAGAAAAGTACATCATGACTTTCCTGATGACCTAATAGTTTTACACTGGAAAAGGCAAGACCTACTCCCTAGTGAGAAATCTTAGGACTAGGAAGTTGAACGAGTTCATTCTTTGGCGCATTTTAAACATGGCAAGGCGAAGGATGAGAGATCCTTGGAGTTTCAAAAGACATTAGAGGTTGTGCTGCCCAACCTCCTTTCTTTCATGGTTTTAGAGCTTCTTGAGTTTGTATTTTATTAAATACTAAGATCAGTCACCCTTTTTCTGTAAAGAAAAGTTTTGCCCTCAGCCACCTCACACACTGTCAGTGGAGGTGAATTCAATTATGTGCACATTTCACTCTTGCTTTTTATTCTGCTTATTATGAAAGTCCCAGTTAACCAGGAAAAAGAGAAGTTGGCTAAAAATGAGAAAGAAGTATTCCAAATGGATTTTTAAAGCCTATTGAGAAACACAAGAATAGGTATGTGTGTGAGGGCTTTTTTTCTTTAGAGATTATGTTTTGAATTACTTTTGAAATTAAAAGATTGATAGCAAATGAAATGAATAACCATTATATAACTAGAAATATGAAAAGAGCTTCTTAGAACAGATGGATCCTCTATACAAGTCTTTATCACACCTTCTTAGATTCAGTTGATGGTGGGAAAAATGTCTAGGGAAGCTGTTAGAATTTTAACAGCGCAAAGATTTTATCAGACCAGCCAGATTGCCTACCCCCTTACCCCCCAAATTAGATTCTCCCGAAGCTGTCAAATGAAGGACACAAAATAGAAACATGAGTAAGAAATTCTTTCAAACTGGTCAATACTTTGCTGGTCTCAGCCTGCTGTGATGTGTGGTTCAAATAGCAGGCCAGGATGATTTTTTTTTTCCCCTGTAGAGAAGGGCAGCATGGACTTGAGCAGACTGTAAATCCAAGTTGCTGGAGAAAAAGCTCATGATAGCAACCCGGGGCACCACCATGAGAATCTTAATGTGCTCTTTCTTAACACCTTGTTCCTGACTTCGTTCATTTGCTTCTGATTATTTTTAGTGTTGTCAATTATTTAGCTAACAGGCAGAAAACTAGGCTTTTATTGACATCCAAAGGGACTCTCCTGAGTGTAATAATGAAGGCAGTTTATTGAATGCCTGTGAGGTTGCTTTCTAATTGTACGCATTAATCTGCCCATGCAAGCTGGCTGAAAATACACAAGCAGATTGCACATGCAGATGGAGCACACAGGATGGTTTTTATGAAAAGACCTCTGGAATGTACTTCTGCAGTACTGTCTTTTCCTTAAAAATCGAATGACTGTGACTATTTCAATTGGCGGCTAAGAGCAAACCAGATTAATGGTGCATTCAGTCTGCCACTCTGGCTAGGGATAGACTCCAATTTCACAATGTAGAATTAGTTCTAGGATTCTTTTTTAAAATCTTTAATTTTTCATTTATATATATATTTATTTACAGT